ACATCTTTTTCTCGCAGAGGGGTTCAAACCATCAACCTTTCGGTTAGCAGCCAAGTGCTTAACCACCGTGCCACCCGGGCTCCTTAACAACTACCACTGTAATAACAATGAAAACATTAAAACGTACAAAAACCTACCTTGGTCTTCCAGGCCAGGAGGAGGCCCGAGCACAGAACTGCTCCTGCCCCAGTGGGTTTCCCAGAAACAGCAATAGGGCAAACATGCCAGGCACCCAGGGGTGGCCGGGGGGGCGACCCCAGAGACCTTAGGTGGGATAATTCAGTCTGCAGCTTCTTTCCTTTACTCATTCAATCTTGTTGTGGGGGCTCAGCAGTAATCTCCAAGTTAAGAAATGTAGGAGATAAAGTGTGTGGTACAATCACTTTCATTTTGATGAAATAAACCATGTTAACGAGTTGTCAATTCCAACTCATGGTGACCCCACATGTCAGAGCAGAGCTGTGCTCTGTAGGGTTTTCAATGACTTATTTTTTGGAGTAGATCACCAGGTCTTTCTTACGAGGTACCTCTGGTTCGACTCCAATCGCCAACCTTTTGGTTAGCAGTCAAGTGTGTTCACCATTTGCATCACTCAGGGACTCCTAAATAAACCATGTTACTGTGTTTAAACACCAGTCATCTGTCAGTTTGCTGTTCTGTGCTGGCTTGCATATTGGTGTTATACTGGAAGCTATGATATCAGTATTTCAAATACCAATAGGGTCACCCATGGTGGACAGGTTCCAGCGGAGCTTTCAGACTAAGACAGACCAGGAAGAAGGACTTGGTGAACTACTTCCAAAACAACTGACTGGTGAAAACCTTACGAATAGCGGGGAAACCCTGTCAGATACAGTGTTGGAAGATGAGCCGCTCCGGTTGGAAGGCACTCCAAGTACGACTAGGGAACAGCTGCCTCCGCAAAGCAGGAAAAAAAAAACAAAACCCAAATGCACTGCCATCGAGTTAATTCCGACTCAAAGGGACCCTACAGGACAGAGTAGAACTTCCCCATAGATTTCCAAGGCTGCAAATCTTTACGGAAGCTGACTACCACATCTTTCTCCCATGGAGCAGTTACTGGGGCCGAACCATCCACCTTTTGGTTAGCAGCCGAGTGCTTTAACCACTGTGCCAGCAGAGCTACTCTCAAAGTAGAGTCGACCTTAGCAACATAGATAGAGTCAAGCTTTCGGGGCCTTCATTTGCTGATGTGGCACGAATCAAAACAAGAAGGAACAGCTGTGAACATCCATTAATGTGAAATGTACAAAGTATGAATCTAGGAAAACTGGAAGTTGTCAAAAATGAAATGGAAAGTATAAGCATCGATACCCTGGGCATTAGTGAGCTGAAATTGACTGGCATTGGCCATTCTGAACTGGACAATCATATGGTCTACTACGCTGGGAATGACAAAAATTGAAGAGGAACGGTGTCGCATTCCTTTTTAAAAAGAACATTTCAAGATCTATACAGCGCTGTCAGTGATAGGGTAATGCTCATATGCCTACAAGGAAGACCAGTTAATATGAGTGTTATTTAAATTCACTCACCAACCGCTAATGACAAAGATGAAGAAATTGAGATTTTTAATCAACTTCTGCAGTCTGAAATTGATCAAACATGCAGTCAAGATGCACTCATAATTACTGTTGATTGGAATGCAAAAGTTGGAAACAAAGAAGGATTAGTAGTTGGAAAATATGGCCTTGGTGACAGAAATGATGCCAGAGATTGCATGACAGAATTATGCAAGACCAATGATTTATTCATTGCAAATACCTTTTTTCAACAACATAAATGGCAAATACACAAGTGGACCTCACCAGATGGAAAACACAAGAATCAAATCGACTACATCTGTGGGAAGGGACAACGAAAAATATCAGTATCATCAGTCAGGACAAGGAAAGAGGCCGACTGTGGAACAGGTCATCAATTGCTCACGTGCAAGTTCAAGTTGAAGACAAAAAAAAATTAAGTCCACATGCGCCAAAATACAACCTTGAGTATATCCCACCTGAATTTGGAGACCATCTCAAGAACAGATTTGACACACTGAACATTAATGACCGAAGACCAGATGAGTTTTGGAATGACGTCAAGGACATCCTAACTGAAGAAAGCAAGAGATCATGAAAAAGATGAGAAAGAAAGAAAAGACCAAAATGGACGTCAGAAGAGACTCTGAAACTTGCTTTGAACACAAAGTAGCTAAAACGAATAGAAAAAATATGAAGTAAAAGAGCTAAACAGAAGATGTCAAAGGGTAGCTCCAGGAGACAATATAAAACATTATAATGATATGTACGAAGACCTGGAGTTAGAAAACCAAAAGGGAAGAGCATGCTTGGCATTTCTCAAGCTGAAAGAACTGAAGAAAAAATTCAATCCTTAACCTGCAATATTGAAGGATTCTATGGGCAAAATATTGAACAATGCAGGAAGCATCAAAAGAAGTTGGAAGGAATACAAAGTCACTGTGCCAAACAGACTTTCAACCACTTCAGGAGACAGCATATGACCAAAAATCAATGGACCTGAAAGAAGTCCCAGCTGCACTGAAAGCATTGGCAAAAAACAAGGCTCCAGAAATTGACAGACTATCAATTGAAATGTTTCAACAAAAGGATCCAACACTGGAAGCGCTCACTGATCTAGGCCAAAAAATTTGGAAGACAGCTACCCAGCTGTCTTAGCCATCTAGTGCGGCTATAACAGAAATACCATAAGTGGATGGCTTTAACAAAGAGAAGTTTATTTCCTCACAGTAAAGTAGGCTCAAAGTCCAAATTCAGGACGACGGCTCCAGGTGAAGGCTTTCTCTGTTGGCCTTCTCATCCATGTTCCCCTGGACTAGCTTATCTGCGCAGCAATCTCAGGTCCAAAGCATGCGCTCCGCTCCCGGCACTGCTTTCTTGGTGGTATGAGGTTCCCATGTGTCTCTGCTCGCTTCTCTCTTTCATATCTCAAGAGATTGCCTCAAAACACAATCCAGTGTTGCAGACTGAGTCCTGCCTTACTAACACAACTGCCGCCCATCCTCCCTCATTAACATCATAAAGGCAGGATTTACAACATACAGGAAAATCAAACAATACCAGGAATCAAGGCCCAGTCAAACTGATACACACATTTTGGGGGGACATAATTCAATCCATGACACTGGCAAACCAACTGGAAGAGATCCATATAGGTGCCCATTCCAAAGAAAAGTGATTCAAAAGAACGTGGAAATTACCGAACTTATCATTAATACCACACACAAGTAAAATTTTGTTGAATATCATTCAAAAACGCTTGCAGCAGTACATCGACAGGGAACTGCCAGAAACTCAAGCCGGATTCAGAAGAGGATGTGGAACAAGGGATATCATTGCTGATGTCAGATGGATCTTGGCTGAAAGCAGAGAACACCAGAAAGATGTTTACCTATGTTTTATTGACTATGCAAAAGCATTTGACTGTGTGGTTCACAACAAATTATGGATACCTCTGTGAAGAATGGGAATTTCAAAACAATTGTGCTCATGAAGAACCTTTAGATTAGAAAATCAGAAAATTATGTGTCAGTGTTGTATCCTTTCACCATACTTATTCAATCTGTATGTTGAGCAAATAACCCAAGGAACTGGACTACATGAAGAAAAACGGGGCATCAGGATTGGAGGAAGACTCCTTAACAACCTGCAATACGCAACTGGGTCGTCTGGTTAGGAGGAAGGAGCTCCACCCAGAACAAACATAACAAAGCAGCCTAAACTCAAAAGGAACCTGAAAAACAATTCGAGGATAATCTGGATCATACCCTTGGGCTATAAACCTACAGGAGGAACTTTAGCCTTGATCTAAGGGAACAGAAACCAAATCCACTGCTATCGAATCCATTCCAACTCACAGGACTCTACAAGACAGGGTAGAACTGCTCCACAGCGTTTCCAAGGCTGTAATCTTTCAAGGAAGCTGGCTGCCACATCTTTCTGTGGTGGAGGGCAGGTACTAGCGACCTGTAAGTTAGCAGCTAGGTGCTTTCACCACTGTGTCACCAGGGCTCCTTAAAGCGACAAACTCCAGAATAATTACACAGGTAACAAACTTTCCATTTTGGATTTCCAAAAAAAAAAAAAAAACAAAGAAACAAAAACCAACAAGACTTTATTACTACCTTATAGTCCTTTCTAAAGGAGCCCTGGCGGTGCAATGCTTAAGTGCCAGGCTGCTAACCCAAGTGGTTAAAGCACACAGTGGCTCCGGGAGAAGAAAGACCCGGCAATCTACTTCTAAAGATTAAACCAAACCAAGCCTGTTGCCGTTGAGTCGATTCCAACTCACTGAGAACCTACAGGACAGAGCAGAACTGCCCCATAGTGATTCCAAAGCTATAATCTTTATGAAAATACACTACCGCATCTTTCTCCCCAAGTGGCTGGTGGATTCCAACCGCAAACCCAAGCAGCTGAACGCTTAACTATTGTGCCACCAGGGCTCCTTCCCTAAAGATTACAGCCTAGGCAAACCCACGGGAACAGTTCCAGTCTGTCTTAGGGTGGCTATACGTCGGATTCCACTGAACGCACACAACAATAGTCCTTCCTAACCATCTCCCCTTTGTCCAGACTAATTCCCCTGTGCCAGGGCTACAGGAAGAGTGCAGGTGGATCGGGGATGGGGACCGACGGGCTCAGAGAGGGCGCGAGGATAGGGGGGGCTGGCTGGTGAGGGCTCAGCAGGGAAGGGGGCGCACCGGAGAGGCCACAGGGAAACGGCGCCGGGGCGCAGAGGACCGGAGGCGGGTAACTGCAAGGAGAGCCAGGGGCCAGAAGAAGGCACCAGGCGACTGCAGGGAAGAGCGCTGCGGACCAGAGGCAGGTAACTGCGGGGGCAGGGGAGCAGGATGCTGGGTTGGCGGGGTGTGGGGTGGGCAGGGCCGGTGGGGTGCGGGGTAGGCGGGGCGCGGGACCGAGGTGAGGGTTCGGTGGGGAGTAGGCGGCCGTTACCGGTGCGCGTAGTGGACGAGGAACATGGCCAGCAGCAAGGCGTTGGGCCGGCGGCGCAGGTGGCTGGGGGCGGCACGGGCGCACTCCAGCAGCGGCAAGGCCAGGGAGGGCAGCTCCTGCAGCACCCACGCCAGCCGCGCGGGCATCTGCCAGCCGAGGCGCGGCGACGAGTGGCGGCCGTAGGAAGAGCCGATGCGCCGCAGCAGCAGTAAAGTTAGGCAGCCGAGGGCGGCTTGCAGGCCGGCCAGCGCGTCCAGCAGCCGCGCCTCGCTGAGCTCCATGGCCGGGGAACGCGCTCCATCCCCGACGGCGGCTCATATAGTCGGCGGGGAGGCGCTTCTGTCGCGTGGGCTAGCACGGGCCACGTGCTTGGCGGGTGCAGTAAGGGCTCGGGCTCTGGCGGACCACGCCCCTCGGGCCCCGCCCCGGCTGCACCCGTTGGGCGAGTTACCTGCGCTACCGAGGGCTGCGGGGGGAGGCCTCCGAGATCGGAGATGGGGCCTCGGCGTCGGGGGCGGGGTGCAGGGCGGGGCCTTCGGGCTCGGAGGCAGGGCCAGGGGCTCAAAGATAGCGCCTAGGTGATAGGGGGCGGGGCCTTAGGGGCGGGGCCTCGAGGTTTGGAGGCGGGACCTCAGGGGGTGAACCCGGGAAGCCAATTTCTCCCGCCCAAGCCGTTGAAGCCCCGCCCCCGGCTCGCCCCCGACCCGCCCCCATCGCGGCTCCGCGCAGGCGCTGACTCCAGGCTGTCCGCGGCGCGGCCTGAGCCCGCGCGGGAAGCCGCGGCGCTTCGCGCGAAGACAATTTCCGAGCCTCTGTCTGGCGCAGCTTTCCTCCTCAGGGTTGTCAGTGATGTTCCGAAAGGACGGGTCTTTGCCCTGTTGGCTGATTTCTTGCCGATCCCGGCAGGCCGTGGACGGACCCGGCCCTGGCGTGCGGGGCCTCGGCCGTCCCGGAAGTCTGTGGCGCTCGGCGTGGTGCGGGCGCTGCGAGGACTCGGCGTGGCGCGGGCGCTGCGGGCGGCGTGGGTGGCTATGGGGCGGCGGGCGCGCGGCTGGCGGCTACAGCAGCAGCAGAGACCCGAGGGCCCAGAGGATGCAGCCCAGCGCGGCGGGAAGCGCAGCGCGGCGGTAGGGGCGATCGGCGGGCGAGGGTGGCCGGAGCCCCGCGTAGGACCCCCGGGGCCTGCGCGGGATCTCGGGAGCGGCGGGCTGGCCCCTCGGGGGCTTGGGGTGACGTCCCTCTCTTTCCTCAGGGCTGGGAAGGCGGGTACCCCGAGATCGTCAAAGAGAACAAGCTGTTCGAGCACTACTACCAGGAGCTCAAGATCGTGCCCGATGGCGAGTGGGAGCAATTCATGGGAGCGCTTAGGGAACCCCTCCCGGCCACCTTAAGGATTACAGGTTACAAAAGGTAGGGCCTTTCCGTATTTCCTCGGGAGTTGGGGCTAGGGATGGTCAAGCTTAACACCAAGGGTCTTTCCCCGAGCCGTGTTAAAATGTCAGCGAATGCTGCATTTCGTGTGGATCCGGATTCTGGAAGCGTTGAAGAGGAAGCATGGGGGTCCAGTGAAGTAGATTAAGGAGCCACTGGATGACGTGAAGTTGCAAGTGGGAGTTGGCTGTTCGCTACCATCGAATTACCCTGGCTTATGGCCATCCCGTGTCCAACCAAACACTACCCAGTTATGCATCGTCTCGAGGATTGGTCGCGGATAGGACAGCTATGATCCAAAGGATTTTCAGTGGTTGAATTTTTGGACCTGGATCTTCAGGCCTTTCTTCCTAGTCCATCTTAGTCTGGAAGTTCCTCTGACACCTGTTCAGCATCAGCAAACACACAAGCCTCCACTCTCAGAGGGGTAATGGCTGCACGTGAGCATTGGCTGGGAATTGAACTCCGGTCTCCTACGTAGGAAGTGAGAGGTCTGCCGTTGAACCACGAATGCCTAGTGGAAGCCTAGAGGAAGAAATGAAAATGCAGTCTGAGAAACGTTTGGCCCTGGGGATGGATGAGCTGAGAATGCCTAGCTATTGGGGACATACGGGAATTTGCTCAGCTGCTACCTGAAAGGTTGGCTGTTCAAACTTACCCAGCGACTCCGTGGGAGAAAGACCTAGTGATAAGCTTTCCTAACAATTACAGCCTAGAGAAAACCATATGGGGCCATTCTGTTGTGTCACATGGGGTCACTGTGAGTCAGAATTGATTAGAGGGTGCCTGACAGCAACGGCAATTTGCATAAAACTTCCGATTATCTCCATTTAGAAAAAAATCTTTGTAGCTGTATCTTTCCAAGATGAGTTGCAGCTAAGTGAAATTACAGGTACAGTGAATTGAAACTTAGATGAGCCAGAACTCGCGGGACTGCCTTGTTTTTCTAGGTCTCGCAAGTTTTCTGCCTTTGATTGGGTACAGTTTTACCTTTTTTGTATCGCTTATTTTAGTGGACATTTCTTGAGTTTTTCTTCTCTGACAGGTTTCCGGCTTATAACAGGTTCTGGTTTTCACAGGTTTTACTCCACATTTAGGCAGGAAGGAAGTAGTATCGCGTTCAGCAGTCAGTGAAGGATACTTCAGTTTTGAAGGAAAACAGTCAAAAGGTAGACTAAAGAATAGTGTCAAACCATGTTACGTTGGTTTTAGTTTTAAAACACTTGAAATGTTTAAAAAAAAAAAAAAGGTATACTGTATTAAATTCATCTTTCAGACTAGTTGATACTTGCTTGTTTTTTCAATAGCCATGCAAAAGAGATCCTCCATTGCTTAAAGAACAAGTACTTCAAGGAGTTGGAGAACCTGGAGGTGGACGGTCAGAAGGTTGAAGTTCCCCAACCCCTGAGCTGGTAGGTGAAATAAGGCTTCTTCACGCTGGGTGTTCCTTTCGGAATTTTAATCTCTGTCCACTTGCGTGTACTTACTGGTAACACGTCTGCTGCCTGCACAAAAGACAGTCTAAACATGCTGTTTGGACAGCCTGACATTCTCTTACTTTGGTGCTTTTATCCATATAATTTTATATGAGTTTGTATAGTTTTCATGTACGATTTTCGGCTCTTTATATCTGAGAGGAAGACCCTCAACGAGATGGATTGACACAGTGGCTGCAGCAGCGGGCTCAAGCATAGCAAGGATTGTGAGGATGGCGCAGGACCGGGCACCATTTCATTGTCTTGTACGTAGGGTCGCTGTGAGTCGGAACTAACTTGACGGCATCTAACAAAAACAACGTATTTGAGCCACTGAGTTCAGTTGATTCTTCCCAGGAAATCCAGCCCTTTTGTGCAGTGGTTAAGTGTTTAGATGCTAACCCAAAGGTGGGCAGTTGGAATCCTCCAGCTGCTCCTTGGAAACTCTATGGGGCAGTTCTGCTCTGTTCTGTAGGGTCGCCGTGAGTTGGAATCGATGCTACGGCAACGGGTTTGGTTTTTTGGTTTGGTTCCATCCTTGGCGTCACCACTTTGGCCCTTTCCATGTGAAGCTCTTGTCTGCTCACGTCAGAGCTGTTGCAGAGTCACTTCTCTCCCTTCAGGAGACTCTTCTCGTCTTCTGTCTGGAGCTCCTGGGCACCTCCTGCTTTCTAGTCACTTGGGTGCCAGCTCTTTCTCCACTGTCCCGCAGGTTGCCTGTTGCTCTCTTCCCGGTCAGTTCTTAGTTAGTAAGGGCCGTCTCTTGTGCTGATCCTGACCAGGGCACAAGCTGTCCTGTAAAATGACTTGCACCCAAGCACAAAGTAGAGGCCCAGAGCCCTAGGTTAGTTTATCAATATCCAAAAACAAAAACCAGCTGCCATCAGGTTGACTCCAACTCATGGTCACCTCGTGTGTCAGAGTAGAATTGTGCTCCATAGAGTTTTCAGTGGTCAATTTTTCACAAGTAGATCTTCAGGCCTTTCTTCCAAGGCACCTCTGGGTGGACTTGAACTGCCAGCCTTTTGGTTAGCAGCCTAGCACTTAACTGTTTCCGCCACCAAAATCGTTAAGGCAGATTGTTACCCAGTTCCATGCTTCTCGTTGCCAGCTGGGGCATTGAAAGTTCTCATAAGAGACAAAAATTGTTTTTTAATTTGCTGTAAAAAGCTGAACTCAACAGGCATTTCCTGGCAATTTTTACGGCTTTGGATGTTCAGGTGCACAGTGTTATCTTTTTTACACGCCCTTCAGACAGCACTGAGGAGTCCCTAGGGGTGCACGCCGTTAAGCGCTCGAGTACTAGCCAAAAGGTTGGTGATTCAAACCCACACAGGGGCACCTTGGAAGACAGGCCTGGCAATCATGCTTCTGACAGGTCACAGCCTTCAGAACCCCATGGAGCAGTTCTGCTCTGCACACCTGGGGTCCCTATGAGTCAGAATCGACTCAATGGCAACTAACAGCAACGACAACAGTGAGTGCTGACCAAGGCCAGGTTTTCATTAATCAGGGGCGGTTGATTTACTTGTTTTCTGGTCTTTCCTTGGTGTAAGGTTTACAGCAACTTTACCAGAAGACTTTGGCCTTTGTCCTTGCTTCCTGAGATAACTTCCAGAACATTAGAATTTCCCCATCAATTAGAGTTTTTGTTAAACTATTGTTTGTTGTGTGCCCCCCAGTCCCAGAGCAACCCTGTGCAGGGCTCCAGCTCACACCTGAAGGTTTATGCTCATGAGGGCCCTCTTGTGTGGGGGCTGGCCAGGTCACCAGCCCTCATGGGAGGGCGCTGGAGCTTGAGTTCAGCCACACGGGGCTTGATTCAGTCATGCCTTTGGTGTCGTGCTGGGCTACTAACTAAAAGGTTGGAGGTTCAGGTCCACCCAGAGGTACCTTGGAAAAAAAGCCTGGCAGTCTACTTTAAAAAAATCAGCCATTGAAAACTCTATATCTACTCTGACACACATGGTTCACCGTGAGTTGGAGTTGACACCATGGCAACTGTTTTTTTTTTTTTTTCCTTTAATGGGGCCCCAACCAAGGCTCTGGACACGAAAGTTCCATGGGCTTCCTGGTTGGTAACAGGCGTAGAATACAGAAGCTCTGCGTTGGGAATCTTCCCATACCTTGCCTCCGTGTTTCTTCATCTGTGCCCTTGCTGTAATAAAACTGATTAAGTGTAGTGCTTGACTGAGTCCTTTCATTTGTTCTGGAGCCCTGGTGGCCCAGTAGTTAAGTGGTATGTCTGCTAATGAAAAGCTTGGTGCTTCAAATCCTCCAGTTGCTTGTTAGAAACCCTATGGGGTAGGTCTGCTCTGTCTTCTAGGGTCACTGTGGGTTGGAACCAACTCAACTGCAGCGGGCTTGGCTCTTTTGGTTTCACCTGTTCTAGTGAATTTTCAGGCCCTCGAGCTTATAGCTGGCATCCTGAAGGGTAGAGGAAACCCCCAAATTTGTAGCCAGTGGGTCAGAAGTGAGGGTGTCTTGGGGGCCCCCGAGCTTTGGGCTGGTGTCTGAGTCTTGGGCAGTCTGGAGGACTGTGCCCTTTGCTATGTAGGTCTGACCCAGCTCTAGTGGTGAGGTTGCAGGAGGAGCTGCATTGGTGCCAGAGAGGACGTTTTGAGCGACCCCCGATAAAGGAGGCTGAATTCCCAGTGTCCACGTCAGGGAGGTGCCCAGGACACGCATTTGAATGACTGCCAAGTGGCGAGATGCTGAAGTCTAGAGCTCAGCCAAGCTCAGGACTGAACATCACCACCTCAGGATGCATTCCTGGGGTATGGGAGTCAGTCTGTAGCCTTACGCCGTAATGTTCACTTAGGGTTTTTATGAAGCATTTTTCTCAGGTTTTGGTAGCCTGGCCCATGCAGTGTAGGAGCTGTGGCTCGGGTTGGGCGGCATCGAGGCGGGGGCCGGCACGCAGTTAAGCTCTGTCATGGAGCTGTAGGCCCATCCCCTCGTGTGTGTCATTGTGAAGACTTGGATGGTGGCACGGACGCTGGGCTGTCAGTCCCCACACTGAAACGCGACCCTGCCTACGGTCAGTGTGTCTGGTATTTTCAGAAGTGTGTTGGAGGCTGTCTCGTGCGTATTGTTATTCCTAGTAGTTTTGCATGTATTTCCCACCCAACCCATTGCTGTCAAGTCAATTCCGACTCATAGCGATCCTAGGGGACAGAGTAGCACTGCTCCATAGGGTTTCCAAGGAGCACCTGGTGGATTCAAACCGCCGACCTTTTGGTTAGCCACTGAACTCTTAACCGCTGCGTAACCAGGGTTTCCAGTCACCTGAAAACGCGTGACCCTTCAACCTTGTGTCCGGAAGTGAGGGATGGGCAGGGCAGTCGGCTATAAGATGGGCAGTCCGATTGTCCGTCTGTGGTCCACATGGCGTGGTCTGGCAGGGGCTGTTCAGCAGGAATCACGCATACAGAGTGGTGCTCTCAAAGCCCATCATTTTGGTAATTTTCTGCTGCAGGTTCCAGCAAACTCTGAGAAACCAAGGGTTGTCAGCAGTCTTGCTGTTTGTTATCGCTGTCTGCAAACTGTAGTTGAAGCTTTTGTCTGGTCCACCTTTGTCACCTGTAACAGCTGCCTCTCATCTCATTTGTTGAGCGTCTCTTGTGGGTACACAACAGGGCAGCCTGAAACGCCGAAGGCCCCTTAGGTTGTCTTCTCGTTGAAGAATGAAGATGAATTGCTCTGCCAACAGCTAGTAATTCTCTCACACTGTTTTTTGCTGTAATTTTCTGAATGCAAAACTGAAGGTGTGAGCAGAACGTTGTGGGATTTGGGCTCTGAACACTGAGCGCTTTTCCGTTTCAGAGACAATTGGCATGACAACTTTATTCTGTAAACGCTGAGTCTGTCAAACTGGAATTTGTCAGCTGTGATACCTGTAATCTGTCAGCAAGCAAGCAGAGGAGAAACTTAATTAGACTTCTGGCTGTATCTTGCATCCTCCAAACTTCTGACTTGCTAGATACAGAAATAGCTCATATAATATTCTTTCTACCTTTTTTGTATGTAGTGGAATGTCGTGCACGTTTTCTGGAAGGTATGTTCCACACAGCATTCAGAGCTTGGGCCAGTTTCTCTTTTTCCTTGCCTTCCGTAGACTAAGCATGGTACAGACTCATCCTAAAGTGTTCCTTAAAAGCTTTGCTTTGACAGCTGGTTGTTGGGAACGCCGCCTTATCATCATCCTGGTTGTGTGCTTTTTGATGTCTGAACTGAAGGTGGTTTGTCACACGTTGTGTGTATTTCAGAGGCTTTTTTTCCTTAGGCATTTTTGAGATGCAAAGATGACGTGTTTTTGTGACAAATTTTCAAATAGGGCCTTTGTTAAAAAACTGGTGGTATTGGTGAAATACAGTTCTTGAAGACGATTTTGTTTAACGGAAAATTCACTGGCTCGAAAGAGTTGGAATCGCTCTTAAAGTTATGTAACATACTTTTTATTATTTGTCAGTGTATTTTCCTAGTTAATTATTGGAAAATTTTTAAATATTTTTTGTCACAAGGTTTAATAGCTTTCACAGTCATATTTACGATAGACTTTCAGCGTTGCACAAATAAATTGATGTGTAACTGCTAGGAACCCAGCCTGTGAAGCACAGGGGACACCTGCTGACGTTCTTTCTAGAATGCATGAAAATGGAAGTTCATCCATTTGTGCTAAATCGGAATGGCACGTGTGCTCAGGCTGATGATGTTTTGGCGATTCGATGTGATGGTAATGAGCTGAGGATGTTTTGGCGATTGGATACGGTGGTAACCTACATGATCACACTGGCCTTTGTCACAGCCCAGCGCTGCATTGCCAGCAGTTACACAGAAGCAGGCGCTGGGGTATTCGCCGTCGCAGAAGCAGGCACTGGGGTATTCACTGTCGCAGAAGCAGGCGCTGGTGTATTCGCTGTCGCAGAAGCAGGCGCTGGTGTATTCGCTGTCGCAGAGGCAGGCGCTGGGGTATTCGCTGTCGCAGAGGCAGGCGCTGGGGTATTCGCTGTCGCAGAGGCAGGCGCTGGGGTATT